CTCAAACCCGAATAGTTTTTGAGTTATTAAGCAAAAACATATAGGCGTAACTACATTTTGCTCTCATCGTGAGCGCGCATAGAGGCGGATCAGCGCGAAACGGGGATAGCTCAGCTGTTACGCCTGTATGCGCGGCGCTACCTGGGTCCATTCTACTCATCCGCCCGCGCACTCAATGGTCAGTTCTTCTAGGGACAGCCTCTATCCTTCGGGAAAATCCCGATCGGCTTTCACTCTCTTTTCCATACGCATCAACAGAATGCCTTTCCGTGTTTTACAATGCCAACATTGGTACCAAATTGGCAAAATGATCTGCTTATATGCACTGTGTTCAAAGCTCCAGTGACTTTAAATAAATTTGGCAATCTCCTTGCCGGTGCCAGCGATTGAAGTCTGGCATTCATCGGCAGGTATGAAAACGACCAGAATTCGTGAAAATCGTACCAGCTGCATTTACTGCATGATTTCGGGCGTCAAAACTGGCTTGCTGCTTACCGAAGACCTCTTTTTTTCTTTGAAAGGTTTCAACATCTCATGGCCTAATAATCAGACAAAAGTATTGAACAAAAACTTGCAAATGAATGGAAAACGTGGGAATGCTGTAAAACTTGGAGAGGTCACGTCAGATTATACCTTCAATTTCCAAGTCTACTTCAGTCTCTCTCAAAATTTACCTAGCGTGTTGGCTGACCGGTAGGAGAGGTGCATTTCGGGTGGCAAGTTCTATGATCTTCGGTCGCGATTTGGTTTAGAAAAAAACATGCTTGTGCTTTGTGCTTGTCGAGTAGGATTTTAAACTGCAAATAATGTGCATTCGTAACAGCTTGATTTGATACCATCGAGACATAAATCAGAATTCAAAATGGGTTCGCGTGTGCGTATGGTTTATGCGCAACAAGCATTATCACTATGAGATAATCACAGCAACGGAAAGCAGCGAACGCAGTTTTAGTGAATACGAGTTAGATATTGATGTTTCTGATTCAGATGAAGTCTCTCAATCAAAACTCAAGAAAATAAAACGATCCTCATTGTGACAATTTCTCATTTTC